TGAACCGGATCTTCAGCTTTGTTAAACATTCTTTGGAGCTCAGCTGCCATGGTGGAGTTGTTTCCACCGCTATCTGTAGTCTGCGCTAAGATGTAAATACAATACAAACATAGGTCAGCATGAGGTAACAATGGTTTGAAAGAAAAGAGAAACCGATAAGTGAAAGAGATATGAGTAAGAGGACTCATCTTTTTATGAAGATCATGACGTATCAAGAAACGCCCAACGGGCCTGGCTAGCAGAGCCCCGAAATGTCGCCATCCCACCATCTTGAGTGTAAGATGGGTCGAACGATATTGCCAATCGTTGTCGATGTAGTTTGCGGTTGCTCCAACAAAGGCATAGCGATTGCCTTTGGTGGTCCAAACATCGTGGACGAGACAGAATTTACCTTTGTTTTCCTGTTGAGATTCCAATATTAGATCAGTTTAAGTACTACATGTAGAGATAATATGTATTTACTTACCTTCAAGTCGTTGAGCGCCTTGTGGTGTAAACCTGCAAACAGATGGACTGACTGTTTAGTCGCCCAAGCAGTCGATCGAACTACAGCTCCGCGATTGACACAGTAGAACGCAGCACACAGGGCCGGGTCTTGAAAGCGAATCCATGGGAGCGCATGTCGAACGATCCAGATCACGAGGATCATGTTCAGCAGGTCGACTGAAAAAACCGGTCCATTGACAAAGGAGTCCAAAGTGGAGTTCTTCTTCTTTTCTGCCGCCATCTGTTCGTCATATGTCGGAGGAAGTATGAGACCGGATTTGATCGCCTTATGGCGCATCTTACACACAGGCCGGGACTCGTTCCCGTTGCGGTGGCCCCAGAGGTTCCAGTACGATGTGGGATGTTTCAAGAACGTGACCTTGCAGAACCTACACTTGAAACTGCGACCCTTTATATTGAATGAATCAAATGCAAGACAACATCAGCTGTGCTAAACAAAAATCAAGAAAGATGTAAAGAAAAGAGATAACGGGGTAGATGGAAGTCAACAATTGAGCGAGTAAGTGTGAAACTCTTACCACTGGAGGCTCGAAAAACTTGAGGAGTTCTTGAACGTGATCGCTTCGAACTTCCATGTAGCCAGGTTCTTTCGTTCCAACAAACTCGATATCCGAATCTTGATCTAAGTTAACCTCTTCGGGCACCTCATAGGCCTACAGATCATAGAACAAGTTAGGTCAAATCGACTGTAAGTAGTAGATATTAAGATTAAACTTACATCCGTATTGGCCTTCTTGCTTGGTCGGACTGAAGGTGAGCCACCCTTGGAATTGCCTGATGGTGATCTTGCTCGCTTACTGGTTGAAGAACGAGCCTAGAAAAATTGATATCAGTTTCGAGTGGTTGATAGAGTCATCTTGACTCATCTTACTTTGCCTTTCGCATTCGGTTTGGGTGCAGCTGGAACCGGAGCTTTGCTGACCTTCTTCTTGGTTGGCGGTCGAGGTGATGCTGGCCGATCAGCAAGAGGATGAGATTGGTCACCATCCGAAGAAGGAACTATCAGAGTGGTCCGTGAATCTGATGGGGTCGCCACAAATCCTGGCTGTGATCGTGCAGGGCTTGGTGGCCTAAGAGTTCTCGATCTAGAACTTGGTAAACTAGGAACCTGAAGACTAGGAGTATTGGAGATGGATTGGGTAGAAGGGGTTTTTGAGATAGCCATCGATATATACGATATGAGCAAAAGGTTACAATTATGATGGAAGTAATAACTGTTTGAGTGGGTAACGAGAAAAGAACAAGTAAGTATCTTTGATTGAATCAATCAAAGATGAGGGATAGAATCTCACTGACCAAAAGATCACTACTAATACAACTTGGTAGTCGATTGGACCACATTTTGGCCCTCGAAATGTATTCCAGGGGTTGTGTTCCATTGGCCGTGGAGGTGGTGATGGACTAGGACCAATTAAGACAGGTGAAGTGGTCATCTAAGATCAAAAGAGGTGAAGGTGGGTGGCGTGAGGCGTCGATCTAGTGAAGGGGTGGGGTGACAACCCTCTACCCACCCCTTGGATCATGATGTCCGCTATATATCGGAGAACCCGATGTCCCGGGGCATTGCGTAGCGGTCCTTTTGCTATGGAAAAGTCTGGGGCTCGAGTTCGGTGCGCAGTTTCCGCTATGGACTGCGGAGGTCATAGCGGGTTCCAAATCCGCTCCGAAATTGCTCCGAAACAGCTATCTAGAGCGGAGCGATTCGGGTATTGCCTTCACGGGAAGCTACTTCAAAACTACAGACATCTGAATGAATAAGTTCCCCCACTTCTGAAGCACGATAGCCAGCTCTTGATTTAAAGGAGTGTCGAGCCATCTTTGACTCTACACACACTACACAACGCTGAACATCAATTTCATTCATGATAGAGGGAGCGATCTCGTGAGATTTGAGAAGAGCCTTGAGTGGTTTTAAACCTATGTGTCCCAAATTATTGTGCCATTCGAGAAGAGATAAGTCAGTGTTCTTGACTAGTGTTGAGCTGGAGTAGGACAGATCTACCTTGGATGGGAGATAGTAAAGATTTCCTTTACGATGACCTTCACCAATAGCTAGACCATCCAACTTGAAAGTATTGGATTTAAAGAAGGAGCATTTTTCCTTGTCGAAGACAAGAACAAATCCATCATCGCACATTGACGAGACTGAGAGAAGAGGTTCTTGAAGACTCGGTACGAGTAACGCTCGATGAGAGTGATTCAGATCACCCAGTTGAAGACTCGTGATACCGGAGTGAGTGGCTTTGATAGAAGAGGAGTCTGCCAACTGGATCGTTTTGTTGGTGCGACCTAAGTCGAAGAGATCATCGTCATGAGGAGTCATCAATAAAGAACACCCAGAATCGATGTTCCAAGCCGAGGTAGAAGACGTAGAGTTGGCTGAGATTATTTTAGCAGAACGAGCTACCTCATCATCGATGACATATGATTCATCATCACTGAAATCGAGAGTGACGATGGAAGTCTTTCCTGCCTTGGTTGGCGGTCGAGAGGATCGACTGGACGAAGGATTCTTTCCACCTCTGGTTGAGGTGGAACCACCTCGAGACATGCCTGAAGAACGATTGTCCCTTTCTGCTTGTCAAATCCAGCAGTTCTGCACTTCGTGGTTAGTTCGTTCACAGTGCGTACAGAATTTGGTGTTACGTTGTTTCTGGTTGGAGTTAGAGGTATTCGAGACAGGTGGTCGATGATTGGATGCAGCGTTAGCTTTAGCAGCAGCTATTTCGGAACTGAACATCAGATTGGAAGAGGTTTTACGACGGGTGGCTTCATTCCTGATAGCCCTAATGACAGTAGCGGAGTTTACACTTGAGCGTTGCATAAGAGCAGTGATCACCGGAGTCCAATCGGAAGGTAGAGAGGTCATGATGGACATAGAGAAGATCTCATCGGCTGTGAGTGGTGATTCCTCGGTGATGAGGGAGTCGAGTTGTTCGTAGATTTTATGAAGAAAGTCGATGTGTAATTCAACATCTTCTCCTTCCATCCGAGTGGTGATCAATCGATGAAGAAGATTAAGACGACCACCAGAGGTTGAGTCCTTACACTACGGTCCAAACTTTAAGGGCAAATATGTCTTCAAAACACCTCCAGTAATGACATTTGAGAAACATGGGACTTACTTAGCAGTGACAAATCTGTTTTGTAATCGTGATGTGGATTTTGTGTTTTTGTAGAAAATATGTAAGGCTGATGTATTTCTTATCATAATTTGAAAACATATATTCTTGAGGTATCTCAATACCTCACCAGAACATAAACTGCCCCAACGGATTGAAAAGCCTGCACCAAGACCTGAGGCTTGACTTTGAAAAACCAAGTGATGAAAACCTTTGCTGAATTCGCATCACTAACCTTTCAGCAAAGTCATAGCTTGCTTTTCACATCTGTTCACTCTTTGACTCCTTTTTCTTTCTATACGACTTCAGGTAAGACCTCTCTTTCTCTTCATCACCATTCTCCACATATTCAGACCTGTGTTAAGTCGATGAAGTCATGAAATATTGGATGCTGACATGTCCCCCATTTTGCATTTCCCATCTCGCTCAATCATTTCCATCGCTCTCGTTTGCAGCGTTTGGTTCGCTTTTGGTCAATAAACCTTGTCTCCTGCTTCAGCTCGACCTCATACATAGAAGTTCTAAGTATCACTTCAATTTTTGATTTTTTAGTCACCTAGAATCGGATCAATCGATCAATCGCGTCGCAATTGCTAGCGAATCAAGCTTCCATTCATTGATACCCTTTCAGTCTGCCTCCTTTATATACACCGATCCATAAAAAGCTGTGGTTCATTTCTTGTCTCGTTTGTGATCTCCACAAGTTGTATGTACACTCACTTCCCTTGCATGCAAAGATGTAATGCATCCTCATCACCATCTCACCTTGATGAGTTCTTGAGCCCAAACTCGTGACGAGCCCAGTTCCCCAACGTGCAGGCGGGTGCAGTAACCAATTTTTCAAAAAAATAACCCCATCGGATCGACTCCTTTTTGAACTGAGTGTATGTTCAGTCAAGGTTTTATAATGTAAGAAAAACATTTCCACGACGATTCCCTGATGTACAACGTACATATTTGAAACTTAATCACGTATGTTTACGTTACATTTTTACTGGGGATGTTTTCAACATATGAGGACAACATGCTGGAAACAGGTGATGGAAAACATGTCACGATTACAAATCTTTTGATCCGTAGTGTATGGGCCAAACGTAGAGCCAACCCCTGACGCGCCGCGCAGACTGCGCGCCGCAGCCTGCGCCTACGCTGCGCGCCAGCACCGTAGATTTTGGGGGAATCATCACTGCGCCAAAATGCAGCGCAGGGGCTTGGGTGACCGTAGCTATAGCCTGATTTCCGCAGCGCACTTGCAGTGAGAGTGCGCCAAACTGCGCACACTGCGCGGATAAATAAAGTAACGTATTGTCAGGTTGGGGTCATCTATATCCTCCGTCAACCCATCACCATCTACTAGTATTTTTCCTCCAGATGGCTGGTAGATGGATCATCCAATGGATATCCGACAAAGAATCCTCATCGATTGGGGTGAACAATCCGTACGTCTTGGTTCAGCTGTTCTTATCTTGCTATTCTATGTCTTGTCTGACTTCTTCTGTGCTACGCATTCCCATCTTTCCTATCTTTCCTTCTCCATCTCAGCTACGATTATCTGTGCTTTTTCATCCTAGTCTATCAGCTCAATTATCCTGGTCTATCAGTTCAATTATCTACAAAAATGACTCGAGGAAATAAATCGAAGAAAGCTAAAGCATCTAGTTCTAGTTCTAAATCTCAATCTAATCCCTTCACAAAGTCATCTAGTCAAGCCTCAGCCAGATCCAATACCGCTAATAGACGTCAAAAGTCAACTATTACGAAAACCGTTGCGGATGAAGACACTGATGATGCGGACTATGAAAACGAAGAAGATGTAGAAGTTGAAGACAATGAAGAATGCGAGGAAGACAATGAGGTGTTAGCAGATGAATCATTTGGTAGTGTTCCCTCACGCACTGATGGAAAACGAGGTCGGAAAACAAGCCAAGCTTTTAAGTCTCAAGGTGCTACGTCAAAGCCCGTCAAAAGATCAAGAAGAAACAGGTACGTTTGTATGAAACTTGTGCTTACTTTTGAATTTGTTCACTAATCGTTTCATGTGCCATGTGATTGTAGAATTATGAAGTCCCTGATGGAATTGATCCCGATCAATGCTCTGATATTGAGGTGCAGAATCAAGTTCAAAACAACACGTCAATTCCAGCCTCAGGAGATGCAAAGCCGAAGGTCATTCATGATCACATCAAAGCTTACTTCTCCAAAGATTTCCATCTCGGACCCAGACAGGTATGTGAAGTCTTCATGAAAACTTTGTGTAATCATTGTAATGCTGATGAGTGTTTTGTTTTATTGTTGAATTGATAAGAAACCAGATGACGTACCTAGGTGTCGTAAATGCTTATGGTGTGGTGACCTCTACACCGACGGTATCAAGAGCCGTCACAATCTTATCGGACATCGAGATGGAGATCTTGGTCGAAGGCACTGCGAAAAACGTCAAAATGCGATTGATGCCGGCGCCAACCTCCCACCAACTTTCCTAGAGAAGCAAGCCGAAATCGCTCGTGCTGAGGCTGAAAAAGCTCAGGGTGGCAAGAACGGAACACTTGATGGCTTTCTCAGCATGCCAAAGTTCTTGGTTGCCTTACTCAACATGATATTAGTTCTATGGCTGCTCCGGAATTGTATCCCGTGGCAACGTATGGATGACAAATACCTTCAAGCTGCGTTCCTTCTGTGTAATCCGTTGGCCAAGCTGTGGTCAGCTTCATGGTCAGCTCGAAAAGCAATGGATTACTTCGAAGAGTTTCATAATAAACTCATTCGTACACTTCAGGTAAGCTCTCTTTGGAAGTAGTATGTAGGCCTTTAAATGAAGTTGTACTCATGTTGGGTTTTGGTTTAAGGATCTCTCTTCGAAGATATGTGTAGTTCACGATGTTTGGACCACCAAGGGTGGCAAACGCGCGTTCATTGGGGTGGCTGTGTCGTATATCGATTCCGACTTCAAATTCCATATGGTTCATTTGACCATCAAGTTAGTGGCTTGGAACCACTATGGTGTGCTACTGGCCCGACCAGTTGGCCGCTTCCTCATAAAACACGGCCTGCACAAAAAGATAAGTGGTCTCTTATCTTTGTTGACACTTTTTCATATTTAAGCTGATTTGTCCTTCCTATCTAACACATGGTTGCGCAGACTACCGATTCGGGCTCAAGCAACCCAGTACTGGCCGAAGTGCTCCAGAGGATGTTCTTCGATGATCCTGATGACCCATGTTACTGGGATTCTAGTCGAAATCAGATCCGTTGCTACTGCCACAAGTTGGCTCTTACTGTAAAAGCTGGGCTGGACACGATTGGTTTTGGAAAAGGTCCAACTAAACCAACTGCCCCATCTGGAAAGAAACTCCGATTACTTCTACCCGACGATTCTTTGCCAACACCAAAGATAGTGATGAAGGACGGCACTATTCTTGAGGACAACGATGATTTGATCAATGACGACAGCCTTCCCGAGGCGATTAATTACAGCATTATTCAACCCGACGAGGATTCCGATGACGAGGGTCCTGATTACAAATCACAACCGCCAGAAGCAAGCCTTGTTCCACGCGCGCTCACCAAGGTTTGAATTTCACATTTATGTTTCTCACATGTGTATTCATAACTGACCTGATCACATTGATCTAGATACGAAGAATCAACAAATTGATTACTTCGAGTGCTCCTCGCACGCATCACTTTCAAACTACAGCAAAACAACTCGGTCACAAGGGGCGCGGACTGATTGGTGCTCATGGTCAACGATGGAACATCTGGTATGACGCTCAGTCGCGCTGCTGTGACGCAAAACAGGTTTGAAAAGCCCAAATCGTTTTTGATTTGCCATCTGTGATACAAGACTTAATATATATTGTTCCCTCTATTATCTCGTTTTAGGTCATCAACTTCATGCTCAATGCAGATCAAGAAGGCTATTATGAAGGAATAACTATCTCACCTGACGAGTGGAAAGGTGTCGAGGCAGTAAACAAGGTGCTTGAGGTATGTAGATTACTTAATAAAGCAGTGTTGAATATAACTAACACATCTTTGTGATCGTTAGCCATTCCTACTTTCAACCAAGAAGATGGAAGTTGATGGACCAACTGCTGGATCCGTCCTCTTCCAATACTCGGCCTTGATTGGATTGTTAACCACAATGAAGAACGATACACCTCATCCCAGTATATCAACAATGATCACTACCATGATTGGCCAACTTTGACAATACCAAACTGAGGCCCTACACTGTGACCCGATTATTTTAGCTACAATCCTCAATCCCTATCACCGACGTGCCTTCTTCACTAATAGGTATCCTGAATATGCAACACGAGCCGAAGAGCTATTCCGACAAGTCCTCACAGCACTCAAAGACCCAGATATCGAAGATATCAGTAGAGCCGATCAAGACACTGGGCCTGGTTCTCCTGAAGTACTCGATCCTTTTGACGAGGAGGGAGCTTTCCAGGCTTCTTCAGTTGAAAAGTTTTCTGGCGATGACGAGATTGACCAGTACTTGTCAGGAAGAAACCCTTGTAAAGGGGATATACTGGACTGGTGGCGAGTAAGTCTTTTCCTCACTTGTAATACATCAATCTTTTGAAGACTTTTCATTTATTTTTCATCTCTTGGTAGCATAATCAAGGTACTTTCCCCAAGCTTGCTAGGCTTGCCCGAGACTATCTCTGCTGTGTGGGAACCTCCTGTTTGGTTGAGAGGACATTCTCAACCGCTGCTCATACATGTACCAACAACCGAGGTGGCCTATTATCAAGGACAATCAAACGTGCAGTAGGGGTATGTCAGTGGCTCAAACAGGGATTTTATCCTGGTGGTGAGATTGGGAATGCTGTGTCTGCGGTGGATAAACTGGTTAAGAGTATGAATAAAAAAATGTGAGCTACAAACAAGTGACCTGTGAATGAACTGTCCTCATTTGTTTCATTTTATTTTTTTCTTTCATATCAATTCTATTTCTTTTTTGATAATTAGTATATCTCACCAAACACTGCATTAATTTCTACAACCCCAAACCTTCTTTAATGCCGTTACTTGTTTTTTCTGATGATACGAATGTCTTGATAAAAATTCCACTTTTGAGCGCAGTTTTTGAACCAATGCGCTGCGATTCCCTGCGCTAGAGACTAGCGCGGTGGGTCATACCTTTTTAGGCCACTGCGCCCACCTTGCATCCCCGTGAACCCGCAAGGGTTGATACATTTGGCGCAGCGTAGTTTCAGCCCAGTCTGCGCTGAACTGCGCGTGGGCTTGGGGTTGGTAGAGCTACCCACATGCCTGCCGCATCACGACGGTGAGGTTTAATGAACTTGAGATTGCCATCTTCGATAGCTCGGGAGATGAGAGCACAAGCTTTAGTGTTGTCATCACTCCAGTTGTTCGAGCGATCCTTCACGGGGATAGGTAAGAGAACATAAGAGAGTTTTATGGCCTCGAGAGCTAATTCAACCTTGAATTCCCAGTCGAGGTAGTTCGAAGATTCCCCAGGTGGTTTTAGGAAGGTTATTCCAGAGAAACGAATCTCGTTTGTAGCGGGATCAACGGTAGTTGACATGATAGCTTAACTTATCCTTTGGACCTTTCCGAGTCGAAGGAGTAAGAAGAAGACAGAAGATGATTGAGAAGAAAGTTTGAACTATAGAGTTTTGTGGAGTAGTGGTTTTTAACTTCGAGTTATACAGAAGTATAAAAAGATAAGATTGGCTTTCAGGCGGTAGCCGCTGGGCTCATAACCTGTTGAGTTTGTGAACTCTGGAACAGCGAGAGCAAAGGATAAAGGAAAGGTAAATAACTTGTTATTTCAACTATGCAAGAGAAGAGAGAAAAAGCTAGAGCCTACCTGGAACAGCGAGAGCAAAGGATAAAGGAAAGGTGAAGAGAGAAGCACCTTTCCTGAGCTGTTCCAGGGAGGTTATATAGTGAAATTACAAGTTGTAGTATCACATGACTGACAGGTTGCAAAGCACACGAAACTGAAATGAAATGTTTGAAATGAAATATTATGTAAAGGACACGTATGTAGATTAATATGAAATGAGAAATAATGAAATGTAAGTTATATGTCAACGCAGGACAGTTGTCATAGGATAGTCTCACAGGACTGTAGACAGGACTCGAGAAAGAAAAACATGACTATCCCAACAAACACAAATACCACATATTTATAATTAGGAGAGGAAGTAAAACTAGAAAGATTCAAGGTGAAAGATTTCAATGAGAGGAGCTTGCAATGACACATTGGGCTTCTAGATTTGATGCTATCACCAACGCCCGAACCAATCCGACACAAAAGTCGGTATCGTATTGGTATCGTGTCGCCAATCCGACATCAAAAGTCGGATTTCTCCATATTGCTTCACCCAACCCAACATGAGAAGTCCCCTTTTCTCATATCGGGTATCGGCGACGCGATACAGGATGGAGGCGATTTGGCTTTTTCCTACTTGAAAAGCCTTGCAACCAATTTTTAAGTACGGTATCGGCTCGTATCGCTTCAGCGACACGATATGGCCGACCGAATTTTTGGATTTTTTTTTTGTCCTCATATCGTATCGGGTATTGGTCTGAATATATGGGTTGGCCGATACGACATGGAAACCCTCCGAAAAGTCGTATCGTGTCGGATTGGTTCGGGCGTTGCTATCACACATATCTAAATTTTTGACCACATTTTTTTGATGAAGAATTTCAATGGCGTTGACTTTCTAATCAGTACTTTATTCTATTACGTACCTCGTTAGGATGATAATGAACATGAAGTAAATATTTGAGAATTTCTTTTGGACTTGTTCCACAGTTTTTGATCTTTTTAGTTAATCTGGTCTGAGAAACACTATGACACTTTTCTCAACATTTCTCACTCGAGTTGGGAGATCTCTACAAAAAAATCGCGACTTTAGTCATAAAGTACATTTCATCAATTTGTCACCTTTGAAATCGATGACATACATCGTCCATTATCCCTTTATTGCTCAATCAGTCTGAGACGTCAATCTTTCCAATCTTTTCAATCTTTCAACCAAGATAAAATATACATCTGATCTCATCATCTTCACCGTAAATCCACTGTGTATAATTGAAAGCAAAAAAGATGTGTATCAAAAAACACGTCTCATTCGAACAAATGATAGGTATGTTGGGAAAACAAAAATACAAGATCGCTCCTTCAAAGTACGATAACTTCTTATGATGAGCTTGAAAATCAAACTTTATCTAATGGTCTATTAAATCCACCTCGTCTGAAATTAAACGAAAGAAAGAAGGGTAAGCTACGAAAAAAAAGCGAAGTGAAGAGAGAAAAGAATTACCTGTTCATATATTGTCTCCAAGTTCTCACTTTGACAACATCAACAGTACCAGCTTCACTGTTACCATTCACATGTTTACCTTTGGTAGTTGATAAAGATGAAAATCCCATCAATCTTGCCATTTTAGCTTCTTCATCTTCTTCATCTTCATCTTCATCTACTTTTGTCATCTCGGTGTCTCTTGGTGGTGGAATTGGTGATCTCGATCTGGATCTTCGACGTGATGTTTCTCTTGTACGTCTTGGAGAACTTGATTCATAATCTAAATCCAAACAAAGAAAAAAATATAAGTCTTCATACTTATAAGCTTCAATTTTGAAGATAAGTTTGAAAGTTCTACATACCTCGGTTTCGATTACTACTTCCTTTCAAAGGACTTCTACTTCTACTTCTAGACTTACTTCTTTCATCCCTATACCTTTGCCTATATCTATCTTTTCTATCATCTCGATCTCTATCATCTCTTATATCCCTATCTCGATTTCTATCACCTCTATCCCTATCCCTTTCCCTATCTCGATCTTGATCTCTGTCCCTGATCCTATCTCTTTCTCTTTCTCTATTTCTATCTCGATTCCTATCTCTGTCTTGATTTAAATCCTTATCTTTATCCCTATCCAATCCTCTATCTCTGTCCAGTCCTCTACTCCTACCTGATCCTCTATCCCTATCTAATCCTTTATCCTTATCTAGTCCTCTATCTCTATCCCTATCCCTATCCCTATCCCTATCCCTGCCTCTATCTTTATCCCGCTCTCTTTCCCTATCTCGTTCTCGTTCTCGTTGCTTTTCTCTTTCCCAATTCATGATAAGTGAATAGATTTGAATAAGTTTGAATTGAACGTTTGTATGAATCTTCAGTTTTCTTTTAAAGTGAAATCTTTCATGGTTCGGGTTGAATGGTTTCGAAACGAAGTTGATTTCAATTCGATCTGATACAGTGAAACCTGTCTAGTCACATATGTCATATACAAACGGCGTCTTATGGTTATAGAGAGGTCACATCTCTGCCATCATCCATGGCCATGAAAAAATGTATACACATGAGTTCATACTTGAAACCCTATAAAGGCATGGATGATCTTAACTTAACAATTAAACCCCTGGCCCTGTACGAGGGACTTTGTTAATGGTTGATCACGGGTTGTATTCATAACCTCACGAGTCACTGCTCAAGATGTGTTGATTCTTGCTGTAGCCGTACTGCGTCCACGTAGTATTTATCCTTCTGATCACCAAGATGAAGTGAGGATTATTATTGAATTTATGTCCACAGTATCTGAGATCTTATGATGTTCATCGCCAGAATGAGTCATATCTGATCAAAGATTCTTCGTGCTTCCAAGTACAATGTTCTATCTTTTTGGAATACCTGGAATCCTGGATGGTTGATGCTACATCATTCTCTGGACGGGTGTCCAAGAGTACTGAAGGGCAATCCTGATCACAGAGCCTAATCTAGACCTTCAGAGACTATTTTATGGAGTCTGACCGATGATGTTCATATTGGAGCTTGTGTGACGATGTCACTTTTTTCTAGTGACCGACATTCTGATACGGTAGAGATGACAAAAACCAGGGCGGACCTCATCTCTCCTCGAAAGGACATAAAACAGCATGGGTTCCCTCTGTATCACATGCACAGGGTGGGAGGGCTGAGAGGGACCGATTGAAGAAGTTTTGGGTGGATACCTATTGATACATCTACCTCGATGAACTGCTAACAGTGTTCTTTGAACGGCTCTTTGGAGAGTGGCTTCATTGATATGAGGTGGGTTCGAGGAAATCAAAGGGTTTGAATGACAATTTAAAGTTTCATTGACACAACATGATCTCTTTTGACGCGATGTAACAATCATCAAAGGACATAATAGAAATTAACAAGAAGTTCGAAGTCAAGAATAAAAAACAGTAGGACATTTTCCGGCTGGATTTCCCAATCATCTACGTTTAACCAAAGAGGCTTATCGAAGGTCACATTTTCGGCTCAAGTTTGATGGGGAGGTATAAATAGTGACTCTATTGAATTGATGAGGCTAAATCTCGTGAAAAGTGCTTTAGGTTTCACCAAAATGAAACAATGTAATGATAAAGAAAAAAAACTATACAAACCAAAAAAACAAAATCAGAATGAGAAAGAGGGAGAGATAATGAGGTAGTGTGTACCACATGATGCTTTTTTCAATGACTTCTTTTTGGAATTTTATCGTCAATTAGGTCGGCAACGGATGCTTGAAATACATGGGAATTCTTGTGGAGTGGGTGATCGTGAGATTCGCTCCCTTTTGATATCAATTGCGTATTCGTCTGGTGATGTCGTCTCATTACAAGGTGCTTCCGTTGCGATGATCGGTTTTGTGTCGTTCAGGATGTTGACCCGATTGGGTGTGATGGGAGGGCTAGGAGAATTTTGCAGCTGTGAAGTGGCAGTTGGCGATTCAGATTTGATGGCGGGGTTGGACGTTGTCATGGTGCTGGAGGAGCAAATGGAATCGCTTGTATGAGATCTAGGGGTGGAGTGGTATAGTGGTCGGGTATATTCTTCACCAGAGAAAGTGTTCGATTGAGGGTACGAGACAGGAGTTGAGGGGTGTGAATAGAGCGGAGTTGTACCAGAGCGATTCGGACATGAGTAGGCAGCTCTAAATTCTACTCCATAGTCAGGCCCATCCAGTAAGTTAGAAATGGAGCTGGTGGGCGGAAGCTCTGACGATCTCGGCGGCGGTAAAACAGCAGTAGCTTCATTCAAAGAATTGTATCCGCTAGGTTTAAAATCTGAAGATTGCCATGAATCACGCCCATACGCCATTATGTTAGGCTGTGAGCGATGGTGATAGGGTGCTGGCCGAACATACGGAGCAAATCGATCATTGACTGGTCCACCTTCACTAAGATGCGAAAGCTTAGGGAGCCGATCTGACTGATCGTATCTTGAAACATCGGATTCACCATTGCTCAATAAAGATGGACGATCCTCGCTGGTTGAAGAACCGGAGAGGAAGCTAGATTCCTCGATGGGGCTTCGGGTGCTTTCTTCAAGATGTTGGTTCATCTGGGGTGAGATCGAGTTAGCCGAGAAAGGGAGAGTGAGCCTCGAAGGGTCCCCTGCGCGAGGTTTTTTGAGTTTCGACGCCTCAGCTCTTCGAATGCTTTCATCTACAGATGTTTTGTCATTACCTGCGCAACCTTTCACCAATAGATGTCGCTTCAAGGCGTCCTTGCGGGAGAAAGACTTTTCGCACCAGCCACATGGAAATGCTGAAGAAGGAGCGGCGTAAGAAACAAGATACAATGGTTTATCATGATCTTATTACTCACGTTTGACAGCTAGGTGGATTCTGGTGTGACGCTTCAGATCGTGATTGCGGTTGAACCCAGCAGGACAAGTAGCACACTTGAATGGCCTTTCGGAATTTTGAGTCTGAGCAGAAGAACCACGGTGGTGATATTCACTATTCATGGGAGCCTGGTGAATTTCAGATGAGCTGAGAGTCCGGGGTGGGTGCTGATAGTACGGATACTGCAAAGCATGCATATGAGGACGGTAATAATCAGGCGAATTCAATTCCGTGGGGTAAGGAGCGAAGCTATCAGGTTGAGCAGGCAGTGATGGGGGTTGATGGGAATGATGAGGTAGCGGCTGTGAATTGTATTCGGCACGGTTTGGTACAGGATCTTCACTCAGGGATGCGTGGGACATTCGAAATGTTGGATATTCGGAATAGCTTTCACCATGACAAAGGCGAGGCTCTTGAACCAATGGCGGATAAGAAGGCGGCGAGGGGAATGGGGCATACGAACTATCGATAGATGGACTGAGGTAGGGGGTTCGACTGTTATGTAGCGTTTTCTCGTCCGGCGATGAGCCAAAATGCGACTCGGTAGGGTTTAAAGTAGGAAAAATGAATGGATATTCGGGAGGCTCGAACTTCCCAGGAAAATGGGCGGAAGGATAGTGCCGATAGAAAACGTCACGGGGATGGTGTCCGGAATGTGTACCTGGAGAGCGTGGCTCTGAAAGATAGTGAGGGAAAAATCAGCCTGCTTCCACGATGTAACTCATGATAGTTAAAATAGAAGGAACACGAGACATTTGAATGGGAAGGAATGACAGAAGCCATCATCGTGATGGAGAAAGTAGGCTTACGAGGCAAGTTGATTGCGTATCCATCGTGCCGAATCATCCCGGCATCCGGAAGAGTAGCAGTTTGTGCTGATGCGGCCATGCTTTCCAAGTGAAATATTCGTGAGAAGTGAGGATAAGACCCGATGCACAGGCTGATCTATCAGAATCTGATTGAGATTGGATATTTAAGGAAAGAAAAAAGCGTCTGAAAAGATAGTACAAGGAGCGGTAGTAAAGGGGAACAATCCGAACAATACCCCCAGAGGCTGAAAGAGGATATATATATGTGGTGGAAATCAAATATTGTGGAAGCCTAGGGAGAGCTATTCGGTAGAGTCAGACTGTGAGGGGAAATGAGCGCAATATTGAAAGACAAGTGTCAACTAGAGAAATCCGTGATCTTTTGCGAGCTCTGGATGAGGGCTTGATCTCATAAACACGCAGGAAAGGCTGTGATATATAACAACTGGGATTGAGATTACTATCATGTAAATTTTGCCTTGTCTGTTTTGTTTGTGTTGTATATATAATCCCGCCAAAATAACTGAAGCGGAATCGTCAGGTATTTGGAGGTATACATCCCGTTGACTTGTTCACGTTTTTTTTCTCGTAATGAGCCGTTTGCGTAAATGTTCGTGGAGATAACACCAGCTGTACGTGAACAGGCCCGAGCGGCGGAGAAGGGTACACCTTGCAACACCCGTCCGTGCTTGTATGTTCTTCTCATTCTTCCAAATGATCTTTACTACCACTCATCAAATCTACAAAAGAAGTTCAATTAGGTGCACTGCTGTACTCTAATCGAGATCCATACAGTACAAGGAAGACTGCACGAAACACACCCCGTGGTCGATGGTCGAAAAAAGACTTATCTGAAAAGGGTCTTCTCATTCACAACACTGTATAGTACAAGGGTCTCCATGGGATCCATTGAGCACCGAATATTCCTGGCCATTCATAACTAAATTAGATTGTTGTACATTGATGAACGATAATTCGATGGGGTGTGATGAAGTAGATGAAGTCTCTTCAGAAGTGTACAAATTTGTAGAGCCATACAGTGTTTGACTCAATTTTATCATTGAAATTTTCGTGACCTAACTCTTGAACGGGACTGAGTACCAAAAGAGGGGTCTATTTCATTGAATTATTGGATTTTAGCCCTCATAAGCTCGTTCAAAGGTATTTTGGTGTTGTACCGACAGCACTATAAACTCATGTGTCTCAAAATGGTACGTTTGCCAAGTACTAAACACTGCTAAACATCAAGCCTTAGGAACCAATGACGTGACTACTTTCAGCGAGTATTTGTCCTCCTGTCCTCAAAGGATTTAGCTGTGATGAAACAAGAATGCCCACTTAATCATTGTTTACAGAACATGATCTAAATTGTACTGTGTCTTGGAGATTGAAAACTTCGATTTGGTTCCCCCCTCCACAGACAAAGGGCCCCGATCTATGTGCAGTATGCGGACATCTCTAGAGACATCTTAGATGGAGAGAATATTTTGCCCAAGTATACAATTCACCCTATATAGGAAACATATCTTTGATTAAGGTTTTCATCTTTTATGCTCAATGCAGAAGATTGGAGAGAACATGTGAAGGTAGAAGGAGCAAAAATCAATTATAAGCTTATAAATTCATTCCATGAACGGTTGAGTAGGGGCAAATAAAAAACCTTGGACAACTATATTTCTAGATATCAAGTTATTCGATGCTTGATGAGTCAAATATCCAAGATTACTGACCAGACCGGAACTCCGTCAGGTCAGCTGAACAGTCTGCATCAGCAGAATTTGGAAAAGAGCTATGTATGAAACTCTTGAAAGACTTTGTTTTCAACTAAAGTGAATTGTTAGAATGATGGACATGAACCACAATTGAGATCATTTTTGCAGGAGTCGGATGTATCCGCACTCATCATGTCATTTCAACGTGGAAATGACTTCAAGCGCACATCTGACGTGACGCGGAGAGCCGTGTGTTAATTCTGTACTGTACTTAACAGAACAGAACAGAACTCTTGAATTCCAAGTCATGCTACACGATCGGAACCACTGAGAAGGTTTATATCTTCTTGGGGAAAAATTTACAAGAATCGAAGACATACACACGGCACTACCATGTAGATTCGGCCACGGAATGCGGGTCAGTACATGATGACGATGGAAAGAACTCTAAACAACTCTAATAGTCCAATAGGAACTTTCGGGTATACAGTCACAGACAGTCACCCTCATCGTGCTTTCTTTCTGTCCACGCAAATATCTATCATGCCGAAGGCTACACTGCGAGTAGCAAGTCGTACAGTGATAACCCAAAGTTTCCCATCACGGGAGTGGTGGATACGACCTGCCCAATGCCAGTCTCAAATATGTAACTTGCTGGACAGGGGCATATATATTTAGATCTTGATCGTATTTCGGACTGCTTTGATGTCGGTTGTGTTTGAGATGTGACTCCCGGGGATGAGATTAACGATTATCGCATTCGCAAAGAGCCGGTGGTCCAAAGCCCGTGAGCGTGAAATCTTCGAGAGTGACGTCGTCATCAGCGCAGACGAACGTCATTGCTTTGCAAGGGGAGGTACGATGATATACAACCTGGAGATTGAGAAGATCCCATTTGCGCTTGCGTAGAACTAGGCAAAAACGAGGTATTCAGGAATTGTAAGCAATTGGCAATGTATAGTAAGCAGAGGGAAGTCACCCCGTTCGGCAAGTGAGGTTTCTTTTGGCCAACTTGTCAATCGTTACACCCTAGAGAACAGGCGGGCATGCCCGCACCAGGGCAATTGGACAACTGCCGGCCTCAACTTATAAACATAGGATTTGTTAGTTTTTTTGTGTTGATGGAGCGAGGTAAAGAAGCACATGCCAATGTTCCTACCGTCAAATTAATCTCCCTTTACACCATGGACAACCTGACATATGTATTCCTAGACTGCAATTGTCATTATTGAACAGCAAACACTCCTTTTTGTGTCAATCATGGGCACTATCAAACCTTCCTATGTTCAACCTTGCCTTCTTCAGAGAGTCCTGAGCAACTCTAAAATACTTATTCTCACTAAGGCTTTGTTAAGACTCAATTAGACAATTAGAACGGTTCAATGTTTACCATTCAAGTACAAAGCTCTCCTATCAGTCAACATGCAGAAAACCATTGTAAATTTACTCACATTTTTACCTCTTATTGTGGCTGAATTCATATATATATATGCTAATCACATGCATAACTTATGGAAAGCACTGGAATCCTACATCTAAGTTGATAAACTAATTACCTATGCCCTCTACCTCTTCAGCTGACATCTCTTTTAACAACAAACAGCCCACCCCTTCCATGGTGTAAGGTAGTAAACAATTTCAGATCAGGTGTAGTTCTTCTGATAGATCATCAATGCTAAAGACAATTCCTTACCATCTTGGCCTTTGATTCCTGGATTTCACCAGAACATCACATCTTGTGTGCACATTATTTAGGTCAAATGGCATATAATTTCTTGGATATCTGATCATTTCAATATACCATGGCTTGTTGCCTTCAAATGAATTTCTTTATTAGCTCTAAAACTTTGCTTAAAGTGTGATTGCTGGTGGTTGACTCCCCTTACTGGTGTGCTTATTGACTCCTTTGATTACTAATTCGGAAATTTGGTAGCTGTGGCAGGAAACCAATTAGCTATGCAGTTAAACATCTCTATCTGAGAAAACTTGATTCATACCTTATCTGTTCTACTAATTGCTTGAGGTCCATGCAGATAATAATAGTATGTTCCAAAAGAATCACCCACATTGTTTACATTATTTGGTTGAGAGCCCCAAGCTGATATAAAAGTTTCCATCAGCTGCCTCTGCTTGGTTTGCATTGTCACATATATAAGTGCTTGAATACTTGTATTCTTACCTGTTGCAGAATCAGTTTATCACTTCATTTTGAGACACTGTTTCCTTTTACCTCAAATACTATGATTCAGTATTTCTTTACTTTACTCCAAGGTAATTAAAACCTTACCCTCCACTTTATCATCCTGTACCCTCCCAATGTACCTTACTTCTTTTTTCAGGAAGGATGTTCAAAACCAAATTGACTGTTGCATGATTGACATGGAGAAGGGTGTAATTGCCAGGAGATTTATGACTGGGTGTATGTAATAAGCTACTTTTAACACTTCCATCTCTCTTGCCTGAAACAGTCAGAAATGTAAACACAACCACATATGAGAGGGCACACTGTGTGGTTTCAGTCCAAATGCTTCAAAATAGAAACTACTTTGAGCATGTCATAGCTGTCTTCTGGGACAGAGAAGCAGTCAACAATGAACCCTAAACCCAATATTGTGGTACTGCTGACTAAAGTAACTTTGATGTCTTTAGGATTTGTGGCAACTGTGGGATTTTATGTCTCTCTTCTTGGACAGTTATGCAGTCCACAATGAGCCCTAAACCTGGAGTATTTATTGGCAAAAGAACATTTGTTGTCCTCAGAAGTTGTTACCAACATTGTTTAATTTGCATGGTCTGCCTCATAAAAGAATGGTGGTATCAAGTTTTTTATGTTAGTCAGTACCATTTGGAACTCAAGTGTGCAGACACCATCAGCCTCCAGAAATGAAAGCTTGATATGATATCCATCTGGAATAATGCACAAAACTTGACTATATACATCCCCAAGAAATTAAGCAGTGACCAAATCTGTAGTCAACTTCAAGAAAAGGAAATGTTTGATGAACAGGGGACATGCAATGTGCTAGCCTTGATATTGGTGTTAGAAGATGGCCATTCAAAATCAACTTGGAACATTCAAGGACACAGTGCAAAGAGCTTTTTTGAAGAAGGTCATGAGAGATTGGAAGTGTAGAATATAGGGGGTTCAATTGGGGATAATCAATAGAGTGAGTGTATAAGCCTTGTAATAATGTTGCTACAAGAAGCTGTTCTTCTATACCCTGAAGTAGTGGTTCTAATGATTGTAGGTGCAAAAGCGGCCACATTGAAAGGATTGAGCCCTTGATTTATGGAGCCAAATTGCTCTGGCTGACCACATGGACTCAGAGACAAGTACAGGCAAATGATTTTTGTTAGAAACTTGGCAGTCAATATAAGGTTTCAACATATGAGGTTAGAGTGTGTTTGCCAGGCAAAAGGTCACAAAAAATGGTTGGATGTTTTATGGAAGTAATTTGGATCAAATTTTTGATTGATTTCAAGGGCTACAAAACCAATTTTATATGACCGATGTTGTGAAATTTCACAAATAATTTTATGTCTGCAGTAGAGAAATTACTCAAGTAAGAAAAACAAAGGCAAAAAGTCCAAAGGTTAACAAATAATCTTGGTTTGGATACAGACCAAACAATAGAATTTGATCTAAGACTTTGCAACTGAGATTGACACCTAGTTGAGCAAAAGCACACCCCACACAGGAACTGGGAGAATAAGTAGAATCTAAATCTTGAGGACTGAGAGATGTTGATGCAGGTAGCTTGTACCTTTGTTATATTTAGATGTAAAGGTCGTGTTCAAGGTGTACAAGGCCAACATATGATACTTCCAACACATGCCATACTCAGGATGAAGATCACAACAGTTCTTCAAAATTCCCCTCTTGCATTTGCATATAAATGTAGCTGACTTGGCGCTTATGGTCATTGTAAGGCCTGGGATTCTAAAATCAATCTCCATGAATTTTCAGTACATAGCTTTTGTTGTCACATGGATTTTTATTTTGTGGAACTATGTAGTCATATGTGATCACTTCAGTTAAATTTATAAACACCCCTGGTCAGAGGCCATATCAAACATGTCTTGTGGTCAAAAACAGGCCTTCAACAGTCAAACCATGTCAATAAAAATCACTTGGACTTCTGCTTCTGCATAGTGTAGTACATCAATAGCCTCATATATTTGGAAGACTCCATGCCGGATGATACATGGCTCCCCAGTATCTTCTTGAATCACATGATTGAGAGCACATACAATGTTTAGAACCTCAGGCAACAGTCTCCTTCTAAGTTCTTGTGTGTATTGAAACTGTATACTCCTGGAAATGCTCAACATCACTATTTGAATTCTTGTACAGCTGTTTGCATAAAAAAATGCTGTTGCCCTCTTTTATTTTTTTATTTTTTTTAAGTTGCACTAAAAATTACCAATGTAGATTCTACATAAGAGCTGTAGTAGGCTGTACTCGACTTTTTCAAGGGTGCAAAGTTTGTGAAAGATCCTGAAAGATCACCAGTATTGCTGCCCTTGTATTCGAGATGCACAAGCTTTCTCAAGCTTTGGTATGGTTGCAAGCAAAGCTCAGCATCGCAATGGACAACTAAATCAGCGCTTTTTCAAGCCTCAACGGTGAGATGTGTATAAAGGACACTTGAACTACCGCAGGTCAATGGCCGAAATAAGGTGAATAAGGGTCACTCGAATAATCGGAGAGGGTATGTAGAAGGTGTATAATTGGAGAGGTGGGGGATTAAAAAGGGGATCAGCACATCAGCACATCATGATCAACTTACAGCTGCTCTTATGTAGAATCCAGGTTGTTAATTTCTAGTGCAACTTAAAAAAAATAAAAAAAATAAAAAGGGCGACGGCATTTTTTATGCAAACAGCTGTAGTGGGACCTCCCCTTGACTCAGGGAAATGTCCTGAGCCTGAGATTCCCATACACAGTGAACAGAGTCAAGCTTTGTAGCCTCCATACCCATCCCTCACATGGCTGGATCACAGATCCAGAGCAGGCCTGAATAAACTCATTTGACTTGTGACTGATCGCAAATGACACTAAGCTCAACTAAGCCCCTCTTCCCAAGCAGCCATTTCTGCTCTTGAAGAGGGGCTTATGACTAAAACCACAAGTTTGGCCTGAGCACAGCAATACTTTGAAGCACTTTGGCTTGAAACCACATTCTCTTGTGGTACTTTCCCCATGTCAAAAGCTGTGGATTGCAAGGAAATTGGACTCCAAGATCAAGTGATTTTGGATGGTTTAGGTGCACATGTAGATTGAATCAGTCCCAGATTTACAAGAACTCAACAGCCCAACTGTGTCACTCTGCTCAAATGTATTGGTGTTCAAAGTGGCGTGAGTATGTGTCAAAGGATTCTAAAAAGCTCCTCACAACTTTTTGTGAGGTTTCATGATGTTTAGAGCCCATGAAATGGTCTTTTCAGCCTGTGCTTCAAAATCTCACTGTGCTCAGGCCAAACCCGGGGTTTTAGTCATAGGCCCCTCTTTGGGAGCAGGCATGCTGCTTTGGAAGAGGAGATCAACACCCATTTTGATCCTTTCATTTCCAGTTTCTTCAACAACAAGCTTGTATGTTCAAAGACTTCTTCATCATACTCCCAAGTATATACTTTCTATCCAAAGGAATAACCAGTTAGATGACCAATTCCTAATTTCCTTCAGATATACCTAAACAACCTCTGACCCCTTGGTTTTGTTATGATCAAGCTCATCTGTTGCCGCAGGGTTAGGAGCCAAGTGGGTCATCCTCGTGCCTTTGGGCACCGTCTATCATGATTCTCATTTTAAAAGTGCTTTTATGTGGAAACATACAGACAAGTAGAGTTTTTTGCACCATACCACTATGCTAAAATATCAGTCACTCATTAGTTGATTCAAATGTTAGTCAATGACTCCGAGTCCCACTATCAGCTTATATAATTAAACTCCAAAATTAGTTACTTGAGGATATCACCTCTAAATGAGAGGTCAAGGAGGTTTGCTTCTTTACAGTTGTATGAGTCAAGCCATTATCTTCCAAGAAAGGAAACCACTCCCTTGGGCATGTTGATCTTAGAGGTGAATTTCCAGGAACCCTTTTTGAGATGCTGACAGCTGACTCCCATGTATCCTGGGGCTACATCTTTTCGTGAGGTGCAGTTTCACCGTTCTTGTCTTGACAGTTCTAGCTGCGTCTGAGGCTAACTTAACACAAGTCCCTCGCTAAGCCATTTTTACCGGACAGGTCCGAGGCTTGAGCGAGGGACTTGAGCCATGGCCGACTCTGTTGGTGGTAGAAGTTTGGGCCACATTTGACCAACACACAGTCTGAACGCATTAACACCTGATCATCTTCAGCAAACAAACCCTTTTCTTTACATGGAGCCCTTGCGCTACATCTTTGGCTCAAAACTGTCTATTCAGATTTCTCAATTTCATCCTGAAAGGCATCATCATTCCAATCCGAAAACGAGAAAAGAGAAATTCTTCCATGCTCAATTTTTGATTGTGATTGCTGCGACCTGGAAACACTTGTAATTTACATACATAGATATTGTGTCACTCTCGCTTGGTGAAATGCGATCTCGTTGGTCGCACCACTCCACCACTACTCCAGATGATGGACTCAGCAGAAAAATCCCATGAAATATCAAATGAATTTGAAGTAACTCCTGTCGAATCTGAAGAAATACCCCCAGTACTAAAGATAGCCAACTATATCAAAAGTCTTCAATTGACACCTAAAAAGTTCATTCACATGTTGCTTACCTCATCGGAACCCGAAATTGTCGAGCGTCGTAAATATTGGGGGACTTCAGCCACTTGGGAATCAACCGAGCAGATCATCGAGGATATCCGGAGAATCACGGTGGACGAGAAAGGAGAAGAGAAAGTATGGAATGAGTACATGCTGAGCAAGGTCAGCTGGACGCGCCACAATCTAGACAATAGAGAATTGTACTGATCCAATTGTTGAACGATATCTAGGCTCAATCTATTGCTGAAAGCCAAAATATACCTATACGGAAGGGGAGGGATAAAAAAAAGAATGTCATGTTTTTCAGTTCAAGAAATATTGTCCACGATGATTTGTCACACTCTAGAGATGTAGATCGCCAGAAGCTTGTAGAAGGCTCAATGCCATTTATGTATCAACTTATTCGTCAAAAGCTCAGACACAGTGACTTGCTTCGACAGAGACGTGCAGAAAGTAAGAGATCAAAAACAGGATGCCAAGGTAATGCCGATGAAGACGAAGAGGAAGCCGAAGCGGAGTCTGGAGATGATGAAGAGGTTTCAAAACAACCTCAAGATACCGAGACGCACGAAGTACAGGCATCAAGGTTTGAGGATTATGTTTACCGTAAATCAAATGACAAGCAAGCAAACCAGGAGCATCGTCTGGATCAGGTACGTCAATATATCACCACTTCAAAACACTATATCATATGCTGACCTCTCTTTGAAAAAAGATTGCTTTTACCTTGTGTTGTATGCTGGCTTTTGCCTGCAACCGCTCACATAACGCACTTCAGATGGAGAATGGTCTCACTTTCCTCGCTGGTGGTGTCTCTGAACGTATGAACAAGTATCTCGGATACATTGGCTTGAGCACTTCACGTCGCACTGCAACCCGAGCTCTACGTAAACTAGGTTCCGATACAGCTGCTTTAATCAAATCTCGTTCAGCTCAACCTACACCAGTCGCGCCCTTCATATGTTGCGACAATCTGGACTTTGAGGAACGTATACACACCGAGCGTCTCGAGGAGAGCACCAAGATGTTCCACGGGTCCTGGGCATACATACACTTCCTGAGACCGGCACTACTTGCTAACGTGGATCCTAACTCGTTCACCCTCAATGGATTTCGAAAAATCCTTCTTGAAGCCGGAAAAGTTGATATTAATCCGGGTCTACTCATTTCTAAGAAGGAAGACCATGATCGGTGGCGTCAGACTTTGAAGTATCAAATCGCCAAAACCCTGTTACAATATCTCTCACCTGGCTCAGCAATGTCAAAACACCCACTTTTAAATCCTCCGGCGGTTGACCAAATCGACTCGGCAAAACCAGACATCTACATGCTTCAATTGATGAGATCCGCCGACAATTCAGCCGACGGGGCTGGCTCAATGTATCAGGAAATATGACAGCAACTTGGACTCGATGAAGAGACTTTTGCTAATCGACCACAAGTTTTTGAAGGTGATCTTGGCACAGCTCGGAACTTCCAAAGCATTGAAGACGAGAGGGGTCCTTCTTCATATGCAGACGAAGCCATGAATCACATTGTGATGTTGTTGGGCGCCGGTCATACCCTGTGGAATGTTTCACAGGCAATTGTACTGGCACACTGGGGTGATCTATCCGATAAAGAAGATTTGGGGGCGTGGCAATCTGTAGTCGCACTTGGCGGAAAGAAAGAGAAGCCGCTTTCAAAAAAAGACTTCACTGGCCTAATCCGATGGGTTGAACGAGTACACTATGGCACTGTGTGTCATACGCTCCTGTGAGTTGCCAATTAAAATGACCTTTATCATTCTTATTTGTCTACTGACCCCTTTATAATTTTGCAGGGAAGTTATGGGCCTCAGCGAGGAAGCGTTACAACAGGATCTGAACCTCTCTCCCGAAAAGTTCATTGAAGTGGTTAATGAAACCCATGAACGTTTTTTTTCAGGTGAATCATTACGCGCGGCTGAAAATAACCAAGATGATCAATTATCACGCTTAATTCTCCGTCTGCGAGATTTTGCAACGATTGTGGAGGCTTCGGAAGCCACTTCAGCTGGGGATATTGGCCGACTGATGATGATCTACAAACGATGGTCTGTGATGGTCCAGGGCATGAAGGGTCTTACTCATTATTCTATTTACCTTCCACGGATGGTTTACCTTCTAAACGAAACTCTTCCACCAGAACTAGCTCATGTAATCAAGCACTCAATGCTAGTATCTCCTTCAGGGCGACCAGGGCATTTTGTTGCTAAAGATGTGTATTTGGAAGTCCAGAACTACTGGCTCAAATACTTTTATAACAGTTCGGTCGGTCATTGCATTAATTACTAGTCTGGTAGATTCTTGTGATAGGCAATTGATTAGTTTAATTCCAAAATTCATCTCAACAGGGTATTGGAACGGATTCGGATCAATTGATCCTTTTATATTCTATCAACATCCCCTTGGTACGTTCATCACCAATGACACTCTGATGTAAAATGTTGGAAATGTATTAATGACAACCAATTTCAGCTACGGGAGCTTTTACATAAGCTTAAGGGTCGTTCCGGTTCCAATCACATATATCAATCTCACAAAAATCTCATAACTCCAGCGTCACTCAAAAGCTTCCTTCGATTTGCCCGCCTCAACCAACTCACCAAGAATAGACCCGGATCTTGCATCACTGCTGGGGCAGTGAAAGATTGCAATCGCCTTGGTATCCAGAAGCTACAGCTGTATGCCACCACTAACGATTTGGGGCGTTTTCGGTGGTCAGATTGGATAGATATTGAGAACCCAAAGGACAAGGATGAGCTTGATTTCTCGGAGGTTTTGGAGTGGGTTTCTGGTGACTGAAGATCAAGTGATAGCCTTACAGTGTCTGGTGGCCTACTCAGCAATGCGATTGGCTTGTTCTGCTAGGTATAGCTCTTCTTTCTCAGAAATAAGCTCGCTTTAGGTTTGAATCCAGGCCACAAATGTATATAGATCAGTGTTTCATTTAAAAAACCTCCCCCTGATACGCCACTATGAGAAACTACACATGCAATCAAAACTTACATTGGTACCTTTTCATTTTTCAACCAATGCATTGCTCGAGAATTTGATTCTCGAGCATATTTTGCCTTGTCAAGTCGGATCTTGGCCAATCGGGCCTCTTCGACTCTTTTGGCCAACTTGATGGCCTTTTGTTCAAGTCGAATTTTGGCTAGTTGGTCCGCTTGTAATCTCTGTGTGTTTTGCTTTTCCAGACGTTCAATAGTCTCACGATAGACTTGAGCTGCGATAGCTTTCCGTACCGCCATTCGCTCCTCCCTTTCGATGGCTGTGGGGCTCTGTTTCCAACACTGAAGCGAAAGAAACAGCTTATGAACTCCACCTACGAGGATATCACCGCCTAGGAGCCACTGAAGGTCGTCTTCGTTGTGAATTAAATTGACATTATTCAAAATCCGCCACATGTCAACATCCCGGAAATAATCTTCGACACAAAGATCACCATCTTTACCGAAGATCTCACTGTAATGAGTGTAAAAGACGTCCTTCAATACTTCTCCGAGCCCTTTGAGGTCTTCGTCTGATGTCTGAATTGGATCCTTGGTTCGATCGATTAACCTCAGGGGATCAGCAACTATTTCGTCTATCATCTCAGCATCGTTGAGAGCAGCGTCCTCTAGATCTAGAAACTTGTCCGGTTGGGACAGACATTGCTCAAAATTATCGTTTGTGAACCGGTGCATGTTTTTTATAATCAAATCGCTGTTCTCCGGATCACAGTTGGAGCATTTACATATTTTGAATCCCTCCTTATCCTCTCGCGCCCTCTCTTCTAGATAGGACTTGTCTGTAACATCTAAGGGTATGATCCCCTTCCTGAAAAAGCACCGTGAAATGTTTGAGCTGACATATCTGTTGATCGAGTTAACCAGATCAAACAACTTACTTATTTGCCAATGTCAAAGCCACACGTAAGCACACCGGAGTGACAGCATAGGCATCCATCATGTCATCGTCAGTCCAATCGGCTAACTTAGTCTTGAAAGTCTGTGACAGAATTTTTACCGCCTCGCCTTGTTTCTTCTACATACACAACACCCAAACCAAGCCGATTATTACGACCACATCGGCCAAGTATTTGGGAAAGTGAACATGGCTCAGTTCGACCCATCTGAATGACACGGCGAACGCGGGGCCAGTTCTGGCCAAGCCCCAGCGCAATTGTACAACAAATTATGGCAAATAAACCACTAGCGTAATCATTGATACGATCCAATTTGTCTTTCTGTCCCGTATTTGAATGATAACGTCGAACTGACATGCTATTGGATATCTTCTCTTCATTCATCGTCCGACGCTTTTTAGCTACAGCCTTCACTGCGACCATTGTTGCCTTGCGAGAGCCTGTGTAAATCAAGGTCGGGACCAAATCGGAATCGCTAACTTGAGATTGTGAACAGAAGCTATCACCGATGTCCTCTAAGCTGTACGCTGCGTGCTTCATCTTGATGCGAATGATGGTGATCTCAGGTCGAGTAAGTTCGCCGTGCCGTGTTTCGATCTTTTCTTTTTTGATACTGAGATTTTCAAGGATTGCGTTAAACTGTCGAGGTGGGCAGGTTGCGGACATGAGCAGCATAGGAACATTGCTGGTCCCCATCAACCTTGACCCTAACCTTCCGTATGACGGACGAAACTTTCCACCATCACTCTGTCGTGCAAAAGATTGCAGCGATTTGGACTGCTTGCTTTCCACCAGACCCCATGAGTATATCATGTGAGCCTCGTCAACAACTTTCAATACCAAACGGTCTTGGAACCATTGACTAGTGTACATGATTTGGAATCTTTTATCATTGAGGAAGATCTCAGGACTCTAAAAATGTACATTGATTGCCTTTTAGTCATGTGTCACAGCCATTCAACTCACTGATATGAGCTTATCATACTGACCAAGTATATAAATGTATATTCCCCAGCCTTAATACCCTTTCCAACCTCATCTGTATATGTCCACATAGTGAGATTCACAGCTGTGAATCCCGCATCACTTTTTTCTTTTACCTAACAGAAAAAGCACGTGTCAGTTTGTATTCCCTTGATACTTAGAGTGTTTATTTCATCTCTTACTCACTTGATTATCACCCAATGCATCCAAGGGATTGAGGATAAGGACAATAGGATGGTCTTCCTTGTTGAACAGGCGCACAAAGCTCTCTGGAATACGCGTCTTTCCATAACCGGTCCCAGCGATCAAGAACGCATCCAGGCCCCTAGCTAACAGCTGCACGATGTCGACTTGCAGAGACCTTGGGTTCTGCTCGAATGTGGCGATGAAGTCCTTGCGCACGTGTGCCACTAAGCCTGTGATGGTGAGGTCTTGAACTGAAGGATCTATCTTGACCGGGCCTTTCCGAGGGAGTCTGGCACTTTGGCCAATCTTAGGCTTCTTTTTGGACGAGGGCGGACTGGCGGTAGATGGAGCCTTGCCATTAGGTGACTTCGAGCTTTTTGCGGACCAAAGTGAATTCGAGGCTTTTCCTTTAACTGGAGTTCTTTTCTTGTGATTGCGATTGTTTCCCATTTCCGTGTAGATTATGATTATGACTATACAAGTAACTGAGGTAACTCAATATGTGGTGAGCAAAATTTTTGCATTTCGATCATTCTCAGGTTTCAAGGAGTGACAGTTAGATTCCATGGGGCATGGTCGAATGCATCCGCAGTCGACTTCAATCCCAAAAATGTGGTGAACCGACTTTTGAATTGCCCTCAACAACGATCAACTCTTCGCATGCTTGTTTCCTCAAACTACCCTGATGACATGATGTTCTTTGAGGGCCTCGAATTCAAACCAAAGCTTCACCTTGAAAGGTACAAGCACCATGTTATTGTAGCGCCAAAGACGGCCAAAAATCCCAAATTTACCCAAACTTCTACCACCACCAGCGACGGCTTTGGCATAAGTCCCTCGCTCAAGCCTCGGACCCGTCCCGGCTGTTGCGATGGACTTTGTTAAGTTAGCGTCTGAGGTACATGAGTGGAAGGAGATGGGAGTCATCTTGGGATGATGAGTGATGGTGAAGTCCAAGTTGAAGTGATGAATACAGAAAGCTTGCAAGTTACAAAATGTAATGATGGTTGTTATACAGTTTTCTTCAAAAACCTTTCTCCTCCTTTCTCTCTCGACGCGTTCGAATCCAACTTATCACCAACAACGATGGCACCCATGTACCCGACCAAAGCACCGGAAACTAATGAAGGTCAATCAAATCATTCTCTTACATCTGTCTAACCATAACTAACAAACTGACCGTCGTTTGTTTCATTTAGATCAAACTACCAGTCGAAAGTTTATTGAGTTTTTTCGGAAATTAGAACCTGTGAGCAATTCATCGTTAACTTGAAAGATACGAATATGTTCCTTTCTCGATTCTAAAACATGATTTATCTCTCCAAAATCCTGATTTAGGCTACCAAAGGAACTCTCAGAGTCTTCGAACGTGAAAAAGGCGATTTTTACACTTGTTATGGGGATGACGCGCATTATGTTGCCACCAACTTTTATCGTACAAACACAGTTCTACGTACGAGCCTCGGTTCCAAAGATTCTTTAAAACTAGATGATATTCGAATATTGACCGCGAGGATCTTTTTTCAGGTTACATCGGTGGTCAATCAGGTTCTTCAAATGCATTGGCAGCATGTTCTCTTAACAAAAACGCCGCGATCACATTTTTAAGAGAATGTTTAACTTCACGTCAATTACGTATTCAAATCTATCGATCTGAAACACCTTCAAAGAATTCGATTTCTTGGTCACTTGCATTACAAGCTTCACCTGGAAATTTAGAACCATTAACCGATTTATTATTCTCGAATACTGATTTATTAAGTTCACCTGTGATTGCAAGTCTTTGGATTAAAGGAAGTTCTACTACACAAGCTGGTCGTACAGTTGGTGTTGCATTTGCTGATATGAGTATACGTACGATTGGATTAAGTGAATTTCCTGAAAAAGATGATGGATGGGCCAACACTGAAAGTTTAGTGATTCAATTAGGAATCAAAGAAGCAATACTTCCTACTACTACTACTGGAAAATCAGGTGATACGGGTGAATATGGTCAGGTCAGGGATATGTTGGAAAGATGTGGTGTAGTGGTCACTGAGCGTCCCAGGGCCGAGTTTAACATCAAAAGCATTGAACAAGATGTGAATCGACTACTGGAGGGTGAAAGACAACTTGCTGCTTTACGTAAGTTGACCATCCATTTTCTTTTCAAGTTTCTATTTGAAGATATCACGGCACCGATCTGACTTTTGTTCCAGCCCAGTTTGATATGAAGACAGCTTTAGCGGCCCTCAATCCATTGCTCAACTATCTGTCCATCTTGGATGACCCTTCAAATCACTCAACATTTAAATTTGTAACGCATGACTTGGGACAGTATATGCGACTCGATGCTTCAGCTGTCCGCGCTCTTCATCTGTTTCCTAACCCCACAGGAATAGGAGGAGGTGGAAAGAGTATGAGTTTATTTGGAATGCTAAACCGATGTAAGACGAGTCAAGGAACCCGATTACTAGGACGTTGGCTAAAACAACCTCTGGTAAACCTTCATGAGATTGAACAACGACAAATGCTAGTCAACATTTTATTTCACGATGGACTTTTACGGCAACAACTTCAAGAAGATCATCTTAAAGCGATGCCCGATTTGACTCGAATATCAAAACGATTCACACAAGGTGCAGCAAGTTTAGAAGACGTCGTTCGTGTTTATCAAGCTATTATCATTTTACCTGATATCCTCAAGGCGCTAGAAAAAGCTGAAGGACCTACCGATACCGATTGCGCCGCTGAAAAACGCTTGATGAACGAAATCTATTGTGTACCTCTCGAGGTTTGTCTCAATATAATCATGACTCCTCAGACTCAAGCACTGATCTTGGTATGATTGAAAACGTATAGGAATGTATCACCGATCTAGCTCAATATGTCGAGATGGTGGAAACAACGGTCGATTTGGAAGAATTGAGTAATCATCGGTTTATCATCAAACCAGAATTTGATGATGAATTACGAGAATTGAAAACAGGACTTGAACAAAATCGAGATCAATTAGATGAAGAGCATAATCGAGTAGCTGATGATCTTGGGATGGGAATGGATAGTAAAACACTTCATTTTGAAAATCATCAAGTTTATGGTTACGTGTTTCGATTAACTCGGAAGGTGAAACCAAGAACTCTAAACTGCTGAAGTATAATTCCATATATTGATAACTACTTTTGTTCTGTTCTATTCTTCTTCAGGAATCCGGAGCGATTCGTGCCAAAAAGAATTATATCGAACTTAGCAATCGGAATAACGGATGCCATTTCACCACAAAATTACTGAAAGAATTAAACAATGATCTTAAAGAACTTACCCAAAAGTATCAAAAAAAACAAAACTCTTTAGTTAAAGAGGTGGTCAAGATAGCAGGTGATCATGATTTTTATCTTGATTCAATTCCTTATTAATCTTGAACTAATTGTTTCTTCATGTATTTGATAAATTTAGCTTCGTATTGTCCAATCTTGGAAAAATTGAATGAGATTATAGCACATTTGGATTTGATCGTTAGCTTTGCTCATGTTTCATTACACGCACCAATCACCTACACACGCCCCAAAGTATTCCCACTTGGTAAGTGAAACGATAATGACCATGATGCAGGAAGATAATCTAACCTAACATTTGAATGTAGGTGAGGGAGATGTAAGTCTCAAAGAATGTCGACACCCATGTTTAGAGGTCCAAGAGGACATCAACTTTATACCTAACGATACGATCATGGAAAGAAACCAAAGTTCATTTCATATAATCACAGGACCTAATATGGGAGGCAAAAGTACATACATTCGACAAATTGGAGTCGTAGCACTTATGGCTCAATTAGGTTGTTATGTACCTTGTTCAGAAGCTTCTTTACCTATCTTTGATTCAATTCTTGCTAGAGTTGGTGCAGGTGATAGTCAAACTAAAGGGATTTCAACTTTTATGGCTGAGATGTTAGAGACTGCTGTGATCCTTAAGGTTTGTGGTTTCGATTGATTTAGTTTTTGATGGAGTCATGACTTTGAATATGTTTTTCTTGTAGTCGGCTACCAAGAATTCTTTGATTATTATAGATGAGTTGGGTAGGGGTACATCAACTTATGATGGATTCGGATTAGCATGGGCAATTTCAGAGTAAGTGAAACCAACCACACAAATGATGATCTCAACAAAGAAAGGACAAACCAAATGAATTCAAACTTCCTATGTTCGTCTTAAAGACATATTGCAGTCGAAATCGGAGCCTTTACACTTTTTGCAACCCATTTTCATGAATTAACAAGTTTAGATCAACAAGTTGAACATGTGAAAAATTATCATGTAGTAGCACATGTCGAAACTTCTAAAACTAAAGAATCAATTCAAGAAATCACATTACTTTATAAAGTTGAAAAAGGGTTTAGTGATCAAAGTTTTGGTATTCATGTGGCAGAAATGTCAGAATTTCCTGAAGAAGTTTTAAAAGTAAGTGTCAATTGTTTTCCAAAGTTTTATCATTATTTTTTTTTCAAAAAAACAAAACAGCATTAAAAGTGATAGTTTGATTTTTTCTATCGATATGGTTTTAGCTTGCAAGAAGAAAAGCAGAAGAATTAGAACAATTTGATAAGAAGACAGTAACGAAAGAAACATCAATAAAAGAAGAAGAAATCGAATCAGGTGTGAGATTAATTGAATCGATTTTAGAAAGATGGACTCATGAAGATCAAAAGGATGAAATGGAACTTGATGAAATAAATGAAAAAATTAAATATGAAAATGAAATTAAAAAACTTGAAGATTGTTTTAAAGAAAGTTTAATTGAATTAGAAAATAATCAATGGATCAAAGAAGTTTTAATGAATAGTTATTGATTTGAAAAAGATTATTGATTTGCAGAATGAGGTTTGACTTGAAATGTTTTTTTTGTATTATAATCGTGTTGCAGATTTGTTTTATTGTGATGAAAGTATTGAAAAAAATGCAAGTGAAATGAAATTAATGTAAAAGTTTTTTAGCATATACTTCAGAATAACTTGCCAAACTTCAGGTTGGGAGTTCAATCAAGTTTTGCCCGCGAACGCGGTTTAAATTAGAATCGGTCATCACAATGTAATCGCTCAACAACCACAAAGCAACTATCTTTTGTAGAGACATGGACATGGCACGGAAGTCGGGAACATAGCTTTATTAAGTATCGAACAGAATGCGTCGGGGATGACATGTACCTCAGATATTAATATGCTTACTAAACAAGTTCAACTCTTTTCAAGTGACATAGGGAAACCCTCCTGTCATCATGACTATTCTGGAGAAGTCGTACAGGTCATTGAGAGGCTCTCTATATGAGGCCTCGTTTTGTGGTTAGAAATGGGAGTTGTAAGATGAAAAAATCAATGCGCCATTCTTTCAAAGACTCTTCCCATGATCAAATGACTTTTTTATGTTTTTGATCGCTTGGAGTAGTGTTTATACTTTCATCCTGTGGAACTCCTCTCATTTTACATATCCTTTGTTTTCAAGTGTCTCAATGGAAGCATAGGTCGCTAGCATCTACGCTCCAGCCTACACGTCTGTGTTTCTCTTCAGCTCTCCTTATCCTCCTGAATTCGGATATCTGTTGTACATTGCAATATGACCATTCCCATATTGACACACTGTACAGTTTTGCTTACAAGAAGAGCAGAGATCGAGATCTTTCTCTTTATCCCATAGTAAGATCTCATCAGATAACTGTTGCCACATCAGTGTTGATAATATCACCCGGCAAGTTCACTTCTTCTGGATTGTTAATGACTCCAGCCAAATGTAAAGTTCTGATGATTTTTTTTGAGTACTATATCAGCGCACATAGTAGAAGAAATTAGTTAGATTTTGAAAGAGAAGGCTCACTTGATAGTTTCCTTGACCGTTTCAAGTGAAACTTGTGAACATTTTTCCGGGTAACTGACTCCTTTCATCCACTCCTTCACATCTTCTTCTGCTTGGCTATAAGAAATTGGTCGATATCAAAAACTGAGAAATACTGTACTGATGAACTAAAGGATAACTTACTGAAATGTATTCTTTACAAACTCCACGTGGTCAGCTTCTCGAACTCCTTTCCCAATTCCAAATCGATGGGTGAAATGGTCTAGTTTTTCTAAGAATTCTTTTAACCTGGCCGGAGCCAAGACCTCGGGATTACGTTCCTGAGGTGAAGCAACAACTATTGCAGAAAAACCCCTGAGCCTTTGCTCTCAATTGATAAAAGTACATTGAATATCACGTACTGACCCTGTGTCAAGCAATAGCACAGGAACAAAGATAAGCGAGTACTCCCCTGTGAAGATATAAGATTTAGACTTACCAAGACTCCCATGGAGTAGGGACGTTTCCAATAAACTTAACTTCACCAGAATCTTGGAATGGCTTAGTGGTAAACCTAGTCGACATACATAGACCAGAGAATAAGTGATAAGAAGAGCAATCAAAGGGATTCTTCCTCTTTATTCGAATGCAAATGTACTTACCATTCCCACATGAAAGCCGCAGTCGATCCATCATTGACAGAGTCTCTTAAGTTTTTGAAAGTATCATTGACTTTTGAAGTATTATGAATGTGAAGGAACTTTAGACTTGAGAATCTGATTGAGAATTCAAAACATCAAGACTGACCAACAAATTCGATCGGCTTAGCTCCATCTTCCAACCAACCACGTTGTAAGGCCATGACCGAAGCCATGACTTGTGATCCAGAGCCAAGCCGACTGATGCCCAACTTTGACGCCGTAAATCTTCAATTGACTCAAACTTACTCTATGAGCCCGTGATGTCGGCCCTAGAAGAAAATCCGCAATAAGCTGGCACTGAATCTCTGAAAGGCTGGAATAATGAATGCAAAAAAGAGTGAAGACCTTGCCAATTAAGCGGACTGGTGACATATGTTCGTATTATCTTGTAATCACCCTTACCAAGGATAATCCCAGCGATCAAAGACTCAGTAAGAGCTATAGCCACATCGATTTGACAATCTTGGAAGGATTTGATCATCTGTCCTGTTCCACTAGGGTTCGGGATTAACTCTATTGTTGATGCGAAGTCATGATCTGATTTGATTAGTTGTAATAAAGGTGATGAGAAATGTTCAGGAACATATCCTATCCTGAGTTTCTTCGGTATAGAGGTGGACATCTTGGAAGGCAGTTAATCAAATCGGCTGACTGAAGCTTGGTAAAGAAGAACCAAAAACCCTTCTGTGCTACTCGTGACTCGAAACATGTGATGATCGGTTTAAACTCGACAAAGTCCTGTTGAGTTCAATTGATCGGTAGAGCTGATCATATCAAACTCATTTGATATGACGTCGGCTTGTCTGTCCTTGAAGGTGAGAGCTGCTTCATCAAACTCGCAGCATTGAACCATTGCGCAGTGAGCAGGAACCAAAACGCACCAGAAAAATGGCCTACGAAAGTTTAGATCGGTTGAGTTTTGAGGAACCAACTGAGGCGGAACTCTCACTTTGATAGACCATCATCAAAAGTCTGTTGAACTTGAAGAGGCTTCTTTAGTACACCCATGGAGAACACTACCAATTTCCATGCACGTGAGCCTTTTAACTCATCCTGTAAGTTGTAACCGGGCTGCATATCCATCTTTATTTGCTCTTTCATTCTTGAGATAAAAGAAAGACCAAACAAGAACAGATCAAGGGAAATAAGATAATCAATAAATCAAAGAGGGAAGAAAGACTTGAAGACAAGACTGAAAACTCTTTTTTGGAAAAGTAAACAATTCGGCTTGAACTTTGGATCACATGATTACTTGATAGGTTTCTCAACATAAAGTCTCATAGCCAGTAAGATATACATACATTTGCTAGAAATGTTGTCACCTCTGGCACGTTTGCTTCACAGCTTTGGAATCAAATTTCGTCGCAGTTGCTGCGCGCAGCAGCGGCTGATGACGCGGCCTGCTCAATCTGGAGCTGGCTGTCATCCCGCTGTTCCAGCCCAGCTCCATCCACCAACCCCCCCCCCCATTCGACACCACCGCGATTATCATCCATCAACCCTCCTCAATAAGAAGCACCAATCTTTTCTGCTCTCAAAACACATCCAAACCCAATTTCACAGGAGATCAAATCTTATGGGCAGCAGCACCAACCTTTTCAAAATCGAGTTATTTTCATCGTTCATGCACAGTTGTTTTTCTCACTTCAAAGGGATGCATTTTGGCTTAAAACTTTCTAGACCACTGATTATCAATTGATGTGGGCATTTATGTTGTTGCTGAAAAGTTGTGAATTTAATGGAATTCCAAACAAGATCATGACACACGATTCCCAAATGAGTTTCCTTCCAACATATACGGGAAGAGTCCATGTGAGGATAATTGAACAATTAGGGGATACAAAGTAGAAACTGGGAGTTTTTTCCCGTTTTTTCCCAGTTTCCCAGTTTTCGATTTTGGCTGTAATTGTGAAACTGGGAAACTGGGAGAACGTTCTCAGTTTTTCTCTACTTTGAATCCCCGATTACCCAATTCTTCACCTCACCCTACCTCACCTCAACTTCGATTTCATTTTCTTTTGGTCCCGACCGGTCCTCTCACCGCACAAGCTCATCTACCCAACTCATCTCCTAATTCACATCCAGTTCCAGTACTTCACTCCCTAGTTCACATCACCTCCACCTATGCCTCGCTTTGCTCGTAAACAACTACTCAGACGATACATCCAAGCGGAACGACATGCACGAAAAACTCTAGCTCAAAACCGACGTGGAATCCTGGCTTCACTAGATTTCGATCTCGGTGCGGTACAGTTTCTCCTCCGTATGCTTCAAACGCTTAACATCTTTCGACTAGCGATATCAAACGAGGATCGACAAAAGGCTGCATGGCTCTTTCTAGTCGGATTCACAGAGTTCATCACGGTATTTACAAAAACGCATCATGTGATACTCATTGGCGCTCGAAATCAAGCAAAAGCTATTGCCGATATCGAATTGCTTGACGAAGCTTTGAACATCATCAACCAACATCGATATGTAGTTAATCGGAACTCACGTGGTCGAATGGAACTTCGAAACGCTTGGTTTCACCAGATGGTCTTGGAGGGTGGTGATGGCTTTATAAAGCTGGTAAGCCGCACTGCCAGGTCTCTGATTCACCGTTACAAAGCTGTAGCTGAGTATTTGTTTCAGGCGCGAATGTCCAAAGCCTCTTTTGACAAGCTGGTCGAGTCGATTGAAGATAACCCGGTGTTTCATAACAACTCAAACATCAACCAAGTTCCAGTTTGGTGGCAGGCACTTGTGGGACTTGCAAACTTAGGGACTTCGGGCAACGGTGGAGACCACTTTCATTTGGCTAGATTGTTTAATTGTTCAGGTAAGTAAGGTGATTTATCTTT